AACATGGCCGCCTCCCTCAGCGGCATCGCGAAGGCTCTGTCCCGTCTCTCGCCTTCCCTTTTACGTCCATCACGAGTGTATCAGGTATTTCGTGTGAATGTGCTGCTATCTCCGTGTGTACGTAGCTTAGCGGTACGTTTGGAACGTGTAACGTTGACGTCAGTTGATCTCTGCGGTTGCTCCGGTATCGATGTCGCTAGTTTCTACTTTATTTATCTTCAACTAGTTTGAGAACAATAAGCCAGATTCAGTAATGTGACATGCGTTGTATGTGTGGCCCAAGTTACTATTAAAACGGGGAGCACTGTAGTGCTTCTTCAGCTAAAATACGCAATTCAAAGTTTATTTAGTGTGGCCCAAAATGAGCCATTTGCCTCCAGTCTGCACATACAGCATGTATGTAGAAGAAGAGGAGGGACTGATCCTCTCCCAAGATGAACACAAGCTTGATGGATCTCATGTGTAGTGTTACGACCCATTCAATGTTTGTAACAAAGTATTCATGTAGTCAGAAACCTACACAATGATGAAGTTACTTCCAATATCAACGGCAGCATTGGATTGTACAACTCACTGTAACCTTGAGCGTTATCTTGAATGAGCTGTCTGCACTGAAGGAGCTTGATGACTCCCGTCCTACTATTTAACAAGTAACCAGCTTCTGTGCGGCGCAGCTCTCTAGGAGAGCAGTACGCTGTTATAAGCTCCGTAAGAGAAGAGAAGAACCTTCCATTCTCTTCTTGCTCTAACCGGGTGCAGAGGAGCTAACGTGCCGTTACTCTTGTGGTGATGGCAATGCTGAGACCATTTTCCTTTGCATTCAGCGGCCCGTTGGACTCTCTCCGTTTCTATCTCCAAGTCACCGGCTCTGCACAGCAGCGTCGCTCCAACAGGACCAAGCAGCTCAGGCCGCTGAGGCGCTGCTCCGCTACCAGGACCGGCCGTGGGATTATCTGGAGAGTGAAGGTACCTAGAAGACAGGGGTCCGGTGTCCTCTCCGGTCCTTGTGCTTTATCTCATCATACGTTCTTCTCCCCTGGCAGAGTACATCGAGAAGTATGGGATGGAACCGGTGTGGGCGGGCTACAGGAGGAACCACAAAGGGGGCATCCCCCCACAGAAGACACGCAAGACTTGCATTGTGAACCATTTGAATCTATTGGTCCCATTCATCGCATCCGTGGGGTCGCAGGAAGTCCCCTAACCACTGATTCTGTTTGTGTAGAGAGGAGAGGAGATCTGTGGGAACCCCTGCCCAGTCTGCCGGGATCCCAACGTCATAATCCACCATCAGGTGGGTCAGCGCCTCACAGCCCACTCCCTGTGCTGCTCGGCTCACTGACGTCTTTTAACGGATTCACATGCAAAGAAATGAATCCACAACATCGAGCGGTCCTCCCCTCCAACATGTGGCATCAGCCATGCAGTGTTCTAATGTCGCCTTACACAAGAGAAGGAAAGGATTCATTAGTTCACCTCAACTAACAGCTATTATTATTGATCAACAGAGAATAAAATGTATTTCATTGTTTTAGCACAATGTTTACAGCTTTTGCATCAAAGTGCCTCAAAAGAAATTCATACAACCGCATGTGTTCATCCTGTAGGTGTGTGAATGAAGTGCGCTGGAAAAACAGGATAAACCGTAAAAAGACTTTCACAGGGGAGTAAACCGAAAAAAGCCATCTCATTCAACCAACACTCGTAAACGAAAGGTCACAACCTGTGATTTATTGTTCATTATGCAACTATCCCAGCGATACTGATGTAACATCAGCTTTGCTTCAGTCTCACTGAGAGCAAAACACTCCACTAGATCTCCACAGAGAGCCTTCACATCTTCAGACTAAACACTCTCCACTTACATTGGACTTATGACACTTATCTATAGCAAGTTGTAAACTGGCTTATGAGGAAATTGCACTTTCTTGTTCTGAGTTTGTCCTTATGGTTAAATTCACTTATTGTAAGTCGCTTTGGATAAAAGCGTCAGATAAATGACGTGTAATGAAACATGTTTCCAGTGGCTACGTACATTTACTCTGTACTTTGGTAGTTTCAACAGACTTAAAAAAAACTAGTTTTCAGATTTATATTTTACATAGAAATCAAATGCTGTACCACTGATACTGTCAGGTTCTCCGATCCCCCCGAGTTGGTTGATGAGAAGGATCCAGCACGTTGATCAGTTAAAGTCAAAAAGTTAACATTTATTTAGAAGAGAAAAAGATTACATGAGCAATTCTCCTCATATCTGTCTCTAACTATTGCTTGCAAGCAGGAGGTCCAACACACCAGCACGTATTCCAGCGCTCTGTGTAGTGGCGTCTCCGAGCAGTAAGAACGCTGAGTTTTGGATGTTAAACTGCATTTTGTTGCCTCAGTACTTGTACCCTGTGCAGTGACAAATTTGAATCTAATCTAATCTTTTTTTATACACATGAAGACAGTTCTTAGCGCCAGTTACGAGAAGCCACAAGTTGAGATAACTCAGGTGAAGATGAGGGTAACACACAATGCTCCTCTGATCGAAGGTCTGTGAGAGCAAGTTAAACCCTTCCCCAAACCTTTCTATCTCTACATCTCAGGGTCAACCACTGAGACCTTTTAGCACAGAATGTTTTTACCACTACATGCATCTCACAATTCGCACCCCTTTACAAGTGAAACCAGCGGTCTATGAACCGCTTTAAACGCAGAGGTGTAGTTTCAGATGTCTGAGGCTCTTTAAGGGATTGAAAGTCAGAACTGAGGGGTTTTTTTAGGTTAAACTTCAGCTCTTGGCAGCTTCCACAATCATGGGCCTTTTTCCAGTGGTTCCTGTCCTAATGCTGATCCTCCCCCCAGAGGTCTTAGATTAGCTTACATCCTATCAATTCACTGTGAACCGCTAATCTAAATGTACCCTTTCCTGCAGAATGTGAAATTGTTGCAGCAGTTTATCAGCCCCCACACTGGAATGGTGTACGACCCCACCCGAACCGGTACGTCCTAAACATGCGCATGCACTGAGGCATCCGTGGGTCCCAGATCAGAGCGTTGCTTCTTCTGTCTGCAGGTGTGTGTATGAAACAGCAGAAGAAGCTGCAGCAGGCCGTCGGCACAGCGAGAGATCACGGTACGTGAGCACGCGTTTAGGACCAGTTCCTCCCACAACACCAACCAAAGAAAACAACTCCTCACTTCTTTGTGTCCTGCAGGCTTTCTCAGCTTTCAGATACCGTATGTGGAGTTCTCAGGAGAGGACTACTCCAATTCCCATGATGCTGTGGGGTCGACCCCACCGGCCCAGTCGTTGACCGCTGGTGAAACGTGGTACCGGTGGTACAGTGAAATGGCAGCTGATGAGGAGGAAGTGGCTAAAGTGAAGATGACGTACAAGGCTTATTTAAAGTGAATGGCTAATAAAACAACAACAAAGAGTTCATTGGTTTTATTGTGTGTGATCTTCAGGAGAGCGCTTAGTAATCACGGGTTGACCTTGTTGACCATGGTCTCCCCCAGAGACTCAAGCACCTCCCGCTTGTAGTCGTCAAAGTCTCCGTCGATCTGGTTCACCGTGCTGTCCTCCACCACCCACATGGTGCACTGAGTCTCCGTGATGAGCCGGGCGTCGTGACTCACGATGATCACAGCTGGACGGGACAGAGTCAGCGTTTATTTCCACCAGGAACACAAACAAAGTGAGCATTTTGCTCACGACTACAGACTGTCAACACAAACCCTCGTGTCTCCCACTAGTTAGAGCGTCTCCATTACATTACAGCTCAGCTCAGGGACACGGAGCAGCCGGGACTCCAACCGCCAACCTTGTGGTTCCTGGCGGTTGGGAGCACCCTCTCTACTCCATGACCCAATTACCTGAGCAGGCTGACCTTTGACCTGCTCTTGTAAGGGAATCCAGTCACATGCATCTGTATGAAGTCAATAACGGCTGTGCTGCTGGTCTACGGTGTGAGGGAGACACTCGCATGCTGGTCCCATACGTTCTTACCTCCTTTATACTCATTGATGGCCTCCGATAAGGCATCGATGGACTCGATGTCCAGGTTGTTGGTGGGCTCGTCCTAGGACAGAAGAGGAACCTGGTCAGCTCGCCGATGGAGCACATGAGCAGCACACGCGCGGCGTAAACTCACCAGGATCAGCACATCGGGCTGACGGCAGGACAGCTCCGCAAACACCACCCTGGCTTTCTGCCCGCCTGGGGAGACAAGAAATCCGCTCAACTATACATGTCCCTTTGGCTGCGACCCGCCTGTCCTCTCCTCCAGGAGCCGGTTTGGAGGACACATCGGTCCTTAGCGGCCCAGCATGTCCCAGCATGCAGTGCGGGCCAAGGAGGATGTAATTCATTCAGGACGGAGGCGGGTGATCTCTTCACTTTTAGATGTAACGTTACGTTATGAATGTTATAACATCACTTCAGTTGGGTTACGTGACGTTAGAAGATGCTCCTTAAGTCCACGTACTGTTCTCATAAACACAACGAGCCGCTCGTCTGTAGTTACCAGTGAAAAGTCACCTCACTGAGGCTCACATGGGTTCATATGGTTTATAGTATGAAGAGAAATGGATCAAAATGAGCTCAGGCAGACCGCAAATATCACTTTAAGTCAGTCAGGTTACAGAATAAATACACAAAGAAACTGAACTCGAACCCTGAAGGCTGCGTCCTCATGAAGATTCAGACACTGCGATGTTGTGACTAGCGACGCAGTTGGAAACGTTCCATGGGAGTTAACGGGAATAAACCAGCAATGTCGCTTCATTTTATTTATAACTGGCGCTTTTTGAAGCCCTGAACGATGGAGGTACATCCGTCCTGCTCACTGCGGTAACGGGTTAGCCTGCTGGAGACAAATGAACATTCAGTCCACACGCGAGCTGCAGCTCACATCGTCTCCTTCTCAACTACGTTGAAGATCCCAGCTTCATGCCGTCACTTCCCGTGGAACGTTTCCCTTAGCGACCCCAGTAGTGACCTCCATGTTCCTACCCGACAGCTTAGAGATCTGGATGGTGTGGGCGTGGCTCTCCAGGCCGAAGCGTCCCAGGCACTTCCTGCCGTCCTGGTAGGGGAGATTGAAGTTCCTCATGAGGTACTCTGTGGCGGTCTCCTCCATGTTCAGCTGATCGGCGTACTGCTGGTTGAAGAAGCCCACTTTCTGCAAGGCAGACACACAACGCCGGTCAGAAGGTCACCGGTCAGCACATCTGGTGTAGAAGTCTCCGCGTGGCCCGTCAGAGGGCACCAGTGAGTCCACACGGAGGCCTGTGAAACTTAACCCCCGTCATCGTCGATTTATTTCATCTAAATGTATCGGAAGTGAGTAGGCTGCTCTGGTTAGCATGGAAGCTAAGCTAACGCTAGAGACCGGATCCAACCTGCTGCACACTTTGCACCAGACACAAATGTAAAAATGTAATGCAAGTCGCTTTGGATTTAACTGATGTTACAGGTCAGCAATGGTATCAAGCGTGAACGCTGTGTACAGACTGATGTCGTAAGAGATCCCCCCCAGTTGATGACACGCCTCCTACGCCAGATCACGACAAGCCTGAAAGGAACTAAACAATCTCAACCTGAAAAAAATGTAAGTATACATTTTGAGGGAACTAATTCCAGAAGCAGATTAAACGCATTAGGCTCTAGAGGCGAAGAGGAAGTTACTCACCAAGCGATGATTCCTCCTCATCTCACCTTTAGACTGAAAGAGGGGCACAGTTAGGACGCTGCTGCGTGGATTGGGGTAGAATTCAGATGCGATGGGACCTGCATACTTACAGGACTTAGCTTCCCAGTGAGCAGCAGAAGCAGGGTACTCTTCCCGACACCATTGGGTCCAACTATACAAACTTAAGGAAGGAGGAAAGGTCATCACAACGTCGGAGGGCCAACTCATTTTCTGAATTGTACCCCTGTAAATGCCAGCGTGTGTTCAGAGGACAGACACACCAGAGGTGAAACCTTCTGAAGGACGGAGGATGTCTGGTTACATCAGTAGTGTCAGATGATCACCGACCTCGGTGCCAGTTCCACCAGGCTCTGTGCTTGGACCACTCTGACTCGGCCTATTAATGCTTCCTAAGGTGACATTAACACCCACGCTGGTACCTAGCATGCTATTGATGCTAAAGCATGTGGGTGGGCTCTGTGCATGTCCTCACCACGCTTCTGTGCATGCATTAGCTGCATGCTTACATGATGGCATGACAGGAGAACTATGGCTTGAACGGTGTTGCATAGGAACTGGTATTGCTCAGTCATATCTGCAGCTGACTGCATGCCGTGTGCATGTAGCCAGACACAAGGATCCACATGTTCCCAGTAGCAGAACAAGATGCTCGGCGTTAGAAGCAGCATACTTACTCCTCGAGTCCATGTCGATTCCAAAGTCCACGTTTTTGAAGAGAGGCTTCTGAGCAGTGTAGCCAAAGTCAACACCTGCAAGGCAGAGACGGCTCAGTTCTGGTCAGCTCGCAGCCACGCTGGATATCAACACGCATCATTAGTTTAAAGGACAGGACTTGTCCATCCAGCTGAGCTCTCAAGTTAACTCTTACCGCATTAATCAGCCCTCGGGTTGCACGTCTTGTTAGTACTTGACAATGTGGGGTTTTTATTCGTTTGTATTTTAGATGCACACATTGTTAACTGGATCTTCTGTTTTGTGTTTTGTGGTCTATTTTGTCTCTTCTCTCCCTGTAGGGCCATTGAGGAAATATAGACTTTTGGCTAACTGACACATTTACAGAACTGTTTTATTAATGTGCAACAAACCGAATCAAATCCAGGAATAAACATAAATGATTAATTACCTGGACAGTAACTTGTTTTCATCATTATACTGATTTTGGGAGCCCGTTGCTCATTGGATCTGAATTCACACAGACCACAAGGGGTGAGGTGTTGATCCGTATTGGCTTGGGAGGGGCATCATTACGCGTCTCAACCAATGAAGCATCTGGGGGACAAGCTTCACCTTCCTTAGAGCCCGTAGAGCTGAGCAGGGATCATTAACCCCGGTGCATGCTGGGGCCTCTTCACACGCTCAGTTACAATCTGATGTTTGACCCAATTCATTTATATTTTAGACATTCTGAGTATGTAACTGTGTATGAAGGGAAGCCTGGTTGGATCTTTCAGACGGGTGTCAGGCTGCTCTGGCTGGGTGGTGGGTGGTGCAGTGGGCTCTCACAGTGTAGTCCCAGGATGGGCGGGGACAGCGGCGGCGGGTTGGGGAAGGTGAACTTGACGGTGTACTCTCTGGGCCTCTTCAGCAGCTCCGTGGCATCCTGGCTCTCCTCCTCCTGAGCTCCTTTCTTCTTGCCTTTCTGCTGCTTTCTGGTCAGGTCGACCTTGGTTTGCTTCTCCTGAGGGGAACATTTAGACACACACAATGACGGGAGGCAAAGAAGCAGTTGAACAGGGACTGCAGAGGCAGAGAAGAAGGAGCAGACTTACTGCCTGTTTGGTGGACTTGCCACCAGCCTTCAGGTCCTTCAGCTTCTTCTCCTGCTTGTCGTACTGTTTCTGTAGTTCTTTCTGCTTCTGCACGTACATCTTCTTGAAGGTCACTTCAAGAAAAGCAAAGTCAAACTGAGCAGCCATGGTGAGGACGCAGGACATCAATCAGTCCTTCGTCAACATCCATCCGAGGACCCGCATGTGGATTTTGGAGAATTAAAGGCCTGTGCTCAAATATCCAAGTGTGTAAAGATGACATATATATTTTCACGTTTGGCTCTTTCTACACACTCACAAATACTAGAAAGATTCCTTTCCTCCCGTGAAGAGGACAACCTCACTGGTTAAACGTCCCCCAAATGGACAAAGTTCACCAACCGGGTTTTAAACGCAGCTTCAACCTTCCACGAACAAATGGGATCCGAATATTTCAGTTAGAGACTAAAAACATGTGCCGTCATTCTTTCTGGGATTAATCGCGTTATGAGCGAAATTCAATAGTGAATTCATAAATAGTGAATTCATAAATAGTGAATTCATAAATAGTGAATTCATAAATAGTGAATTCATAAATAGTGAATTCATAAATAGTGAATTCATAAATAGTGAATTCATAAATAGTGAATTCATAAATAGTGAATTGCAGACTGGAAGTAGTCAGTCTGATCTCTGCAAACGTCGGTGTCCAAGTGCTGTGGTTGTCGTTTGGTCTCGGCGGTGGAAGCTGCTCTAAAATGCACTCACAGTAGTTCCCTCTGTAGTAGTAGAGCTTCTCGTTGTCCAGGTGGATGATATCAGTGCACACATCGTCAAGGAAACTTTGGTCATGGGAAACGATGAGGAGAGTCTTCTTCCAGCCTTGAAGGTAGCTGTGGAAGGAGCACATAACAGACATCCACAAATATTCACGTTTATGCTTAGCCAGGTCTATACATAATTCATTTTACACCCTCCAGCACAGTGAAAACCCACAACGCTCCGTAACGAGGAAAAAGACCGGTTTGCTTTGGATAAAAGCTCAATGGGAAACACGTCCAGCGGCCTTGGTTCACATGGCCTACATGGCTAGTGTGCCTCCCTCATCCAGCGGATACAACTGAAAACGCCATCTGGACACAGCTAACGGCTAACGGCTAACAGCCGACGGCTCAGACGTAGTCCTGTTAAAGGAACAGTATTCAAATCTACTACTACTAAATACTGTGATACATCAGATTAAAATGCTGCTTGTACTTGTTGAGCCAGATGACGGCGTTCAGGTCCAGGTGGTTGGTGGGTTCGTCCAGCATCAGCAGAGTGGGCTCCATGAACAGAGCTCTGTGGACGCACAAGTAAAGCCTTAATGGAGAAGAACTTGTGACGGGTTGAGGTCGGCCCGGTTGCGTTCATGAAGCGGTGTACCTGGCGAGGGACACCCTCATTCTCCACCCTCCAGAGAACCTCTTGGTGGGTCTGTTCTGCATCTCAGGGGTGAAGGAGAGACCGGCCAGGATCCTCCGGGCCTTGGGCTCGGCGGCTGCAGCTCCAATAGCCCGGAGTTCTTCATAGACCTGTCAGGTAGGACAACACTTCATCCAGACCCTCCACACCACTGCCGTGGAAGTGAGAGTGTCAAGTGTCACTCATAATCAGTGCCAGTCCATTTGCTTTATTTTTTCCTTTTGGGTCACCGTGTTCCCAGATTGGAGCAATTCATGTATTCAGTACGAAGTCCAATGGAATTCTTCTTAAGAGCCAAATATGTATTTGTTTGGGACATTTGGGAGCAGCAGAGCCAACAGAACACAACGCTGATGTTTGATCCCACTGCTTTGGGGTTTACTATTCACTTCCTGTCATTTCCCAGTAACCACTGACACAGTGGGACCAGTGGTTTCCTGACCGCATTCAATCTACCGTCTCACTAAGGTTTCTTCTCTTGTGTGTGTCTCTCCTGTGCCAAAGTGAGGGTTTGGGGACAGAGGATGTCGTATGTGTACAGACTGTAAAGATCTGAGGCACATTTGTAATTTGTGATTTTGGGCTATACAAAATAAAATGAATTGAATCAAACCCCCGGTGCTGATCAGATCTACTTCCACAGAGCTCAGGTCCAACTCGCCCTCTGCACTCATAATGTCTAGGTCCTTTCAGGACAAACCCCCTTGGTGCTTTCCTGTTATTCCCTGTAACACTCTGGTCAGACAGCATTCTACAGCCGTGTTGTGTCTCATGAAGCTCATCTGGAGCAGCCACAGAAACGTTACTTCATCAACAGTAGAAGAAGTGCATAGGTGGTGTTCCATGCAAACAGAGGCTCTCCTCCACTCACCTTCTCCAGCCGCTCCGCCACGCTGTCCTCTCCCTTCTCCAGGCGCACCTGCAGCTGCCGCTCCTCCTCCAGGAGCTTCAGGCGGCGGGTGTCTGCCTTCAGCACCGCCTGCACCGCCGGGGTGTCATCAGCTACCACCTCTAGCACGGGAACAGAGGCATGGCAGAGTGAGCGGGCGGGCGGCGGGACCTGGACAGAGGCCGTGTGACAGCTCACTCACCCTGCTCACACAGCAGCACATCGATGTTGGGGGGGATGCTCAGAGCTCGGTTGGCTATGTGCTTCAGTAAGGTGGTCTTTCCTTTGCTGAAGGGTGGGACGGAGACAAGTGAACACGAGGGAACTGACAACAGGAAGTACATTGGCTACTATTACTGCTAGTAAGTTTGCACGTTTCTATGGGAATTAACGGGAATATACGGTAATAACGGACATTTTGGGGTCATTTAACTGCATCACCTTGTTATTTGACTAAACAATATTTTGTTTGTCATAAGCAGACATGCATGCAAACCTTTTAATACGAATTTAAAAAACAACATATTGACTTAATCCATTTGGGAGTAGAACTCTATTCTTTCATTGAACAATACAAAGTGCAGGTTGAATAAAACAGTGCCTTTCATGTGATAGTCCTCTTAAGCTTCTCAAGCCTCTGGTTTTAGTGTTATCCCTCAGGTCAATAGCTAGCTGCATCCTCTGCAGACAGACACGGCACGTGCTGCTTCCATCTTTCACATATAGTTTGGATCTACGTTTCTACTGCTCAGCCTTTGATTTGAATTGATTACTTTTCTAAGTTATATAATTGTATTATTTATAAGACGATCTTCCCAACAAGCTGCATCCAGGTGCAGTTGAGCTGGGCTCGCTTTGTCTTCTTCTCTTGCCCCCCCCCCATAGACATCAGGCAGAAGACATCATTGGGTCTGTATCCACAGCCAGTAGAAGATAGTTACCCATTGGGTCCAACCAAACCATATCTTCTTCCCGCCACAATGAGAAGGTCAGCGTTGATGAACAGCTCTTTCCCATGAGCGGAGATGCTGAACCTCTCCAGCTAAAAGGGCACCGAACACGTGAAACAATTAGGTTCATTGGTTCATCTTCACACAAATGTTGTGCCCAGTCACTCAGTATTCCACCTTGATGTCCGAGGCGTTCTCCAGCATGGCCTGTCTGGAGGACATCTCTGCCTGGGAGATGGAGAAATCTCCCTCCAAGGCGTTCTGAGCACGGACACTGGCCACCTGCCGCTCATACTCCATCTGGAACCAGATCACAGACAAGAACACAAGAGAAAATGACCAACTTAGCAAAGCTCAAAAATAAAAGACTGGACCAGCTCCGTAGAATAGGGGGTCTCTGCCCCATCTCGCCTCAGTTTGGGGGACCTTGGCCTGAAAAACGTTAAAGACGAATTCTTTTTGCATTGACAGGTTTATCCATAGCTCCGCATTTTGTTAAAGATATTGTTCATTCCAGGGGTTGTGTAGTTTTGTCTCCCCCCTTTGTGCTGGCCACCTCTTATAAACTCAGTGGTTCTGTCGTGAGGTCAGTTTTCATTGTACGCTGGGAAAGGTGGTGTTGAATTTCGTCCCGGTCAGTGTGGGACTCCTCTGTCCTCGTCCTTCTGGACCGCTCTGCTGCATTTGACACAGTCAACCACCAGATCCTTACTTCTCGTCTCCTACCACAGCTCTGCCGATGACACCCAACTAATTCTCCCCTTCCCTCACTCGGATCGCTGCCTGTCATCTCTCAGTGGATGTCCGCTCACCATCCGATTATCAACCAGCTGGACCGTAGATGACAACCAGCTACAACCATCATTTACCATGAATTATTGGTAAAATGAAGTCTGAATCTGTGAATATCTTGCCAACTTTCAATAGGGATCGACTTTTTGGAAAATGGAAACAATGAGGTAAGATGTGCGCAGGCTCCTCCATAGTTCAGTAAAGTTATTAGATACTCAGATTCAGACTGACGGAGCGGTCTGCCAGCTGGACGCATTGCTCTTAATGTGCCGGTAATGATGGTAAATGATGCTTGTAGCTGGTTGTCATCTACGCTCCACTACGGTTACCAAAGGGGCGCGTTTGTTTTTTGACAACGTTTTCTCTCAGAATTTTGACTTTCTATCCCCTTTCTTCAGTGCATAAATGGGCTTCTATTGTTGTGTGAATGCATCACTCCAGCCAATCCACAGACGGGGTTTGTAACCAATCAGGTGTAGAGACCATGGTGACTGGCTCCGCCCCCTCACTGTCAGAAAGCTTCGAGCGCGTGCAGAGATTAACATTACATTACAGACGCGTTTATCCAAAGCGACTTACATTACGCTTTAAACCCGGGGCTTTATTCACATTTTGCCTGGGGAGCAATTAGGGGTTGGTGTCTTGCTCAGGGACACTTCGACATGGGACATGGGGCAGATATCTCACGCGAGACAGACTTTTGCTCGCGGATGTTTGATTTACACGCGCGCATCAACACGATTTGCGCTCTGGAATTCTGACAGTGATTTGCCGCCATAGAAACCTTTGTTACAAAACCGGATGAAATAGCAGAATCCGTTTCAGTTTTACGAATCTGTAAACAAAAACACAGATACCTGCTCTTCACTCGAGACTCAAAAAGCATTTGACCGGGTATCATGGCAGGATCTATTCCAAACACTAAAACGGTTCAAATTTGGAGGCAACTTTTTAGATTGGAAAGAAACATTATATCAATCACTGCAGTCAGCTGTTAGTTAATGGATATAGATGAACGATTCCCATTGCAACGCGGCTGCCGACAAGGTTGTCCTTTGTCCCCCCTGCTGTCAATCTGTATTGAACCACATAATTCCCTACAAATAAAGCGTTGATGGGAGGCGGAAATGAACAGGATCATACCACACAATACATGGGAGGAAATTACTTACACTTCAGTAATTACCAGATTCTTCAGAAATATTAGCCAAGATGGGCCCAACACACTCCAACGTGGTGGAAGTGTGCACGTGCTGCCAATCACACACATGTATTGTGGCTTATGTGCTTACTGGAGCGAAGTCTTTAATGCCCTCAAAGAGGTATTCCAACCAGACCCCACCGGAGCACCACTGGGAGCAATGCCTGAGGGGCTGGAGGGGAGAAGAACTCTCCGATGCCCCATCACACCACGTATGGACCCAACAGCTATGGGACATCTATCAGATGGAAGGAACAACACTCCTACCGGCCTACAAAGCCACGGGTGGCTGCAGCGTATTGGTACAATGGGGTTCTTACTGTATGTGGGTGAACGGTGACCCGTTAACTCTCTCTGTATACACCACCCTCTGATAGCACCTACAATACTACACTCAGGGTGGGCAACTATTTATTCATCCCTTCATTTGATTTCTTCTTTAGATTTTTTAATCCCTCAGAGTGAGCGCCAGTGGATGTTTCCTGTTCTTTGTACACAGAACCTGAGTATCACGTGTACCAAGACTGCAACTGGAAACTGGACAAAGAAAGTAACGGTCTGAAAATGCATGTTGCTGAAAACTAAATATAAAGTGAGTTTCATTTTTGTTTTTTTGTTAAACAGGTGACACTTCACAGGGTTGATTATAATGCAGATTGGGTTCAGGTACTTGTGACAGGGGGGGGGTAGTCCTGCTATAATGGAGAGGGTGTGTATGACCTACTTTGGATTAAGGCTGTAACATTACAAAAGGTCTCACACAACTGATATCAATGTGTATATGAAGGGATTTTCATCATTAGTGGTCCATAACAAAGCTGACTAGGATTAGTATGTTGTATTCTATCACTCTGTGGGCAGTAGTAGAATGACAACTAAACCTGCTAATATTTGACTGTTGGCCGTTTAAAGAACTCGTGTATATCCACAGCGGTTACCCGTTTCTTTTTCTTCTTCTTGTCCTTCTTGCTGAGGTTGGCCAGCGGGTCGCTCTCCTGCCCGTCGGCCTGCTCTGCGATGACGTCCTCAGCGCTCTGACGGGCAAACGCACAAGACAGGAGGGTTGCCACGGCAGAGAGGGGTGCATGTAGCTTGTGGAGGACACACGTACCATCATCGTGTCACCTCCGTCACTGGCATCCTCCTCCTCCTCATCTTCGTCCTTACTGTGTGGTCGTACAGCCGGTTTCCCGCTCTGGATGGACGGAGTTCAAACATATCATGGTTACTTAGAAAAAGAGCCGAGCCGCGTTGTTCCTTTACGTCTACACACATATGAAGACGCTACATTCTAAGCTCCTCGAATATAGAACCAGCAAATTAAGAATGAAAGAATGTGAGACGGGCCTCCATAGTGCACGAGCAGCTTATCACTCTTCATCAAGAGAGAAAGAAACCGTTTCTCTTCTGATGGAACGCAGACGCTGGTTGGCCGACAGACTCGTCACGTTTTATTATTTTATTACACGCTCTACCTCAGACGCCGCTCTAAGCGGCAGCGGCACACACTTCCTGCCTTTGTTTGTGGTTATTTTAGACCGAAGAAGGCGCAGTACCCTTTTTGCTGGTGTATCTTCTTCATCCACTGGGCGTGCCTCATCCTCATCACTCTGGCTCAGAGCAGCAAAGATGTTTCCGCCCTGCAGAACAGACGTGCTTTACACTGTAACATGTTGCGAGTGAGGACGGCGTGTCAGTGAAGACTTTAGACCAACCTGCTTCTTCTTGCTCCCTTTCCTGCCGGCTGTGGCTGTGGGGGGCAGTGAACTGTTAATGTAGGGGGACGGCTACATGGTCTCATTGCACACACGTGTCGTACCTGGCTCGTCGTCCTCATCACTTGCTTGCATTGAAAGCTTTTTCAGCTTCAGCATGACGTCCTCATCGTCGTCCCCACCTGCGTCTCCACCCTTGCCTTTCCGCACGTCTTTTTTCTTTTTATGAGACTGAGGAGAGGAATTTGACATTCTAAGTATAGTAGATATTTAAATGTCAACAGTAGCAACAATGGAACGTTTCATATACCAACGTAAAGCTTAAAACAGCAGAAATTGAATTTATATGAAGCTTTTCATGTACGGAGCCTGAAAGCAATCAATACTGAATCAAGTGACAATGAGACAGAGGACGATGGCGATACAGATAGTCACGCTGTGCTGCTGCTCCTGCTCCACGGGCACATCGTGCACAGCCTGCCTGATTAAGACCTACTTGCAGAGGGACGGTTACCTGTTTCCCTGCGGTCTCTCTCACAGCAGCCTCATCTGCTTTAGGTTTGACATCTGTGCCAAGTTCCTCAAAGAACTGGAGAAAGAATCCACAGAACAGATGTGGTGAGATGTGACACAGTGGTCACGGCGGCTCAATACTGTACCTACGAACCACACGATTACTCACACTCTTCTTCTTCTTCTTATCTTTCTTGCCCTTTTTCACGGTCGTCTTTTCTGCTGCAAGGGAACAGATATTTTATTTCATGATGACTCCACCAACTACAGACGTAGAATAGAAAAAAGGTCTGGACATCAGCACCACCCACCCACCAAATGTGAGGAGAACCCTGAGGCGGGTGGAGTTTTATATATCGGTTTATTTTACCGCAAAAGAGCGGTTATTGATGTGGTTGTTAGCCCAGAAGGCTCGGCCACGTTGGTTCATGTAAAGTGACTACGGACCACGTCAGTGTGCTTCAGAGTCACGCGCCGCCGGGTAAAGACCCGCTTAACAGCTCAGGACGGTTCACAGACGGTCGGCCAGCAGAGATCTCCACGTGGACCTGCTCCTTTTTCTAAAATAATAAACTCATTGCAGGGTCCTCAAGCCTCAAGCAGTGACTGTGAGACACACACATTTAAACTAGTTCACACACCACACCGCGAGAAGGAAACGCCTGCTAACGATGTATCCTGCACGTATCGTTTCCCTCTCAGGTTACTAAGACGCACAAACACACACGTGGCAGGTGGAGGCGTTTGATGAAATGCAAGTGAAGGAAACCCTGCAGGATAGACACAAATGATGAAGACAACAAAAAAAGAAAAGTGGAGAATGGTCAATGATTTAGCCAAGAAAATGCGTGTTGCCCTGATCGTAGGACGTACGGCACTGAAACGTTAAAGGCCGCCGCATGTTTCTGCGTCTTTACGTCGTGTCGACGCACTCGTTTCACTTCCTGGTTGTAAAGTCTTGCGTGTGTTGCACAGAGATTCACCTCCAGAACAACAGGTGGAGTCACGTGTTTTGTTGAAGACGACCTAGAGAGTCACGTCTTTGTGTGTGGAAGTCGTTGGTTGCTTTATTTATTCATCATAGACTTTATTGCCCCGTGCATCCACACTGCTGCTTTTCATCAAGGACACATTTGTCCCGTATTTTCCACCACGACTTTGTTACCCTCGTTTGTGGAGATCTCCCTCCATGAATCAGAGGCCATCCGGCGTCCGCCAATGACGGCTTGTGGAAGTGCTCATATTTACGCATTTCTTCCCACGCAAGGGGCTTTTGCGTCTGCCGCTGTGAAAACGCAGAAGCATAAACTAGGCTTACGGGTGTCTTTTGTAGTTGGGACAGTGGAAGCAATAAAAGGACCATGAAGTCTCCGTTGGCCAGGTCACAAGCATTGTGACTAAAGGAGGACAACCAAGTGCTGCGTTGAGGTTCCTGGTCCTCAGGAAGACGGCGGAGCATCAGTCATGTGCAATGAGCTTCTGTTTGTCCTTGTCTTAAATCATACGAAAGAGTGAAGTGAATAAGAGTGAAGAGTGGGTGGCTGTACGCGTACATGTATGTAGTCTTGGTCACAATGGTCATTTACAGTTGAGAGGATTGAACATTTAGTTCTTCAAGTACATTGTAGCAAAGTTTAACGGTCACAGCGGGAGGCCTCTGGGCGCAGCGGACACGAGCAACACGTTAAACGAGCATTCACGGTTCCACGAGTGGAATAAAGCTTCTTCTCGAACATTCCGCGGCGAACATCTTTGAGTCAGAACTCTAAAGCATCGTCGCTAGCGTCACATGGAGGCTAAATGGATCGATACGAGTCGTGATATTCAGTAAGCGTCCATGAGGACGAACAGAACTCACACATGTAGCGAATAGAGAACATCTACAGTTGGTTTGGTGAAATAACTTGACATTGCATCATCCATCATGTGTTTCAATTGGGTTAGATGCTGATAACCAACGGTTACAGGACGCTGGTTGAACGGACGTATTAACGCGTTCTCTTACATACAGACAGAGTCTCTTACATACAGACAGAGTGCTTTATGAGCACGTCGCTATCTGACGCGTTGTAACGGAGTGCCGTTGAAGCAGTAACGTTAGCTAGCTTCTCCCCAACCGAAAGCTAACCTCACCGGCTGGCGGGGCCGCCTCCTCGTCCACCCACACCGCTTCTTCCTGCATTGACTTGGGCATCGTGCTTCTCTCGCGTCCGCTTCTTGGAAAGAGAAAGTCTTTATTCTTTGAATTACAATGATGGTGCCAAGCGTCGTGCGGCCCAATCCAGGAGGCACATGCCGGTCATCAACAGAGTCCTGTTCTGCTTCGTGTGCCGCTTCGCTCCACTGACAAGCGGCTGCAGCAGCGACAGCGCCACCTCCGGCTGGAGGACTGCGGCCATCTGAATTACTGCCGACTCCTTGGACGGGGAAACGACTTTCCGGACGAGGAAACGGATCTACCGGACCGGGAGAACGGACTCACGGGATGGGGAGAACGGACTCACTGGACTGGGAGAACGGACTGACGGGACGGGGAGAACGGACTCACGGGACTGGGAGAACGGACTCACGGGACTGGGAGAACGGACTCACGGGACGGGGAGAACGGACTCACAGGACGGGGAGAACGGACTCACTGGACTGGGAGAACGGACTCACGGGACGGGGAGAACGGACTGACGGGACGGGGAGAACGGACTCACGGGACGGGGAGAACGGACTCACAGGACGGGGAGAACGGACTCACTGGACTGGGAGAACGGACTCACGGGACGGGGAGAACGGACTGACGGGACTGGAAAACACACTCACTGGACGGGGAGAACGGACTGACGGGACTGGGAGAACGGACTCACAGGACGGGGAGAACGGACTCACGGGACGGGGAGAACGGACTGACGGGACTGGGAGAACGGACTCACAGGACGGGGAGAACGGACTCACGGGACGGGGAGAACGGACTGACAGGACTGGGAGAACGGACTCACAGGACGGGGAGAACGGACTCACGATACTGGGAGAACGTTTAAAAGCATCCACAGTCTGTGGTGTCCTCAGGTGGTCAGGGAGAGCATTCCACAGACTGGGAGCAGCTGAGCAGAAAGCCCGATCTCCCATTGTACGGAGCTTTGTCCTGGGAGGTTTCAAAAGATATGCTGAGGCAGATCGGAGGGTATGTGTTGATGTCTGTGGGGTGAGGAGTTCCTTGAGGTAAGGGGGGGCTTCACCATGGATGCACTGGTGGGTAAGGAGGGAGACTTTGTACTCAACCTTGAGTGAGACAGGAAGCCAGTGGAGTGATTTGAGGATGGGGGTGATGTGCTCATGTTTGCGCACCCTCAACAGGATCCTAGCAGCGCTGTTCTGGATGTACTGCAATTTCTCAAGGCGGCGAGGAGCGCTTTGAGAACTGGATGATGAACAGGGTGGGGCTGAGCTCTGAGCCTTGAGGGACACCACAGGTGACATTGTGTGTCAGGGATTTAGCCTCTCCCAAGGCGACATGCTCAGTTCTCCCGGTGAGGTAGGATGAGAACCACTGATGGACGAGGTCAGAAAGACCAATAGTGGAATGTAGACGGTGGAGGAGGATGTTGTGGTCCACAGTATCGAATGCTGCAGTCATGTCCAGGAGGATGAGAAGAGATGGGGAGCCAGCGTCTGCAGTCATCAGTAGGTCATTTGTGACCCTGACCAGGGCTGCTTCTGTGCTGTGGCCAGGGCGGAAACCAGATTGAAATTTCTCGAACAGGTTGTTTTGTTTTAGATGGTCCTGAAGCTGTGCAGCAACTACTTTTTCCAGCACCTTGGAAAGGAATGGAAGGTTGGAGATGGGCCTGTAGTTGGCAAAGACGTCTGGGTCTTGGGTGGGTTTTTTGAGAAATGGCCTGATGACAGCGGTATTCAGTGTTGATGGGACATGGCCAGCCCGGAGGGAGTGGTTAATGACCTTTGTGATGAGGGGACTTATGGCATGGAGGTTGGATTTTACCAGGGCACAGGTGGATGGTTTCATCTTTTTGATGATGTCCTCAACTTCTCGCTGTGAGATGGCAAAAAAACAGCTGCAGGTTGGGAAATCCCAGGCTGTGGGTCAGCAGTCGGGACAGGCAGTGTGGAGAAACTGGATAGCAGGGAGCGGATGGTGTCTACTTTTTTTCTGAAAAAAGTGATGAAATTGTTGCACCTCTCATCTGTGGCTTCTGAATGACAGTGAGTTTGGGTTTAAGAATGTCATTTATGGTAGAGAAAAGTTGCTTGGAGTTGCCAGGGCTGTTATTGATAATGTTGGAATAGAACTGTGAACGTGCATCTCTCAAGGACCTTGAATGGGACTTCTGATGTTCTCTGTAGGCCTGTCTATGAACAAAGAGTCCTGAGGCCTTGAGGCGCTGCTCAAGGACACGCCCGGCTGTTTTCATTTGCCGGAGTTCGTAGGTGTACCAGGGGGCTGAGCGTTAGAAGCTGACAGTTCTAGTTTTGACAGGGCCGTGGAGATCTAAGAGACTGCTCAGTGATTGGTTGTAGAAGGCAACCGACTCAGTGCATGAGGAGAAATCAGCAGAAGAGAGATGTTGGAGGTTTATGGCCAAGGTGTCCGGGTTGATCTTTTTCAGGTCCGTATAGCAGATTTGACGCTTGTCTTTGGTGTGTGGGGAAATGAGTGGCAGCTCCATTGAGATGGCCTTGTGGTCAGACACACCCAGATCATATGCCAGAAGGTTGCTAATGGGGGCGGAGTTGGAAATGACCAGGTCCAGTGTGTGCCCCCGGGAGTGTGTGCGGACATCGACATGTTGTTGGAGGTTGAGGCAGTCCAGTAGTTGCAGAAATTCAGCTGCAAAGTGGCAGGAGGGGTTGTCTACATGAATATTAATATCTCCAAGTATAATAATGTTGGCAGAGGTGGTGCAGAGTGTTGTGAGAAGGTCATGTATCTCTGAGATGAAAGCTAAGTTGGGTTTGGGGGGCCGGTAGACGAGGAGCATTGTCATGGGGAAGGGGGGTTTACATTTGAATGCTAGGCATTCAAATGAGGACAGTGTAGGCAGGGGGAGAGGGGACCAAGTTCTGTCGGTGGATGACAGCTAGGCCGCCACCACGACCAGTGCTGCGGGCTCTCTCCAGATAGCTGTAACCGGGGGGACAGACTTCGTTAGGTGCTGAGTAAACCCCTGGCTGGTGCCATGTTTCTGTCAGGCACATGAAGTCTAATCCCTTGTCCATGATGTGGTCTTGTATGAAGGATGCTTTATTTGTGAGGGATTTTGTATTGAAAAGTTCTATTTTGAGTGTTGATGCTGTGGTGGATCTCTGTAGAGGCCGTAGTACACTGGAATCCACTACACGTTTTCTGGCCTGCTTGGTGTAGCGAGATCTCGCGGTGTTTCCCAAGCTGCTCAACTGAGTGTGCAGAGATCCCGCGATGTTTCCCGTGTTGCTAGCACCGAGAGCGACACTGCTCTGATGACGCGGCAGACGTGCGACAGTGGTCCAGATGGATGGAATGTTTGAAGCAGGCTGGCCAGGCTGATGGTACACAAACGTTCGACGGGAACTTCTGTGGATATAACGTGGACAGCTCACCTCTTTATCTGTTCCTCCTGAAACATAGGTAAAAATTCAGTAGAGGTTCAACCTCCTTGGAATTAAATTAAATTTCTGCGTGCATTATCTCCTTTTATTGGATGTTGGCCCTTGTAGATTATCAGAAATAAACTGACGGCCCAGTTCATAAATTAAAAATTTATAAAATGCATTTAGTGTACACCAGGATACAGCTATGATTCTGAAACTATGTAATCAATAAATAAATAGACTAGTGTAACAGTCTAGTGTAATGAGCGGAATAGCACAGATGCACATGCATCTATATGATTGTATTCAATGTAATGTAACCAACCAAAATGCAATGTAATACTTGATAGCACAGCTGATATTGAACGAGAGACATTCGAAATCCGAATTACATTGGACGCACCAGGAGAGGTCACATGCCCAGGGCCGTGGACAATGCCTTCACATCACACCTTGATAATGGGTGGTGAATGGGCCTCTCTGTGGTCTGTTGATTGCAGAGACCAGCGACTCCTCAGCTCATATGTTCTTTTTAGCCCAACACCTTTTCCTTTATGAAATACTTTTGATTTTAACTTTCAACCCAAGATGTCTTCTGTCCGTCCGGAGTTTCTTCATTTTTTTAAAACAAACCATTCTTTATTTTTCTTGTATCGGTTGTTTTCTCTTCAATGCACCTTCCATCGGAACTGCCAAAGTTGTCTTTACATCAAACTGATGTGAGAGTAGAATGAGTTTAAACTTTTAATGACAAGTAACACAATCTGTGTCATTAGCATGTTAGCATTGATTGCTAGCATGATATTATAATCATCACCATCACATAAGGTTATGTAGACAGGCCCAGAAATGCATTTTTACATCAAGCTAGTTGACATCTTTCACATCTTTCACCAGATGAAGGGAGAATAAAAGGCCTTTCAAAATCAGATGGATGGAATCAGTTGGAAAGTGGAGAAAGACGGTAATGTGGCAGCCATGAAAGCAGCACAGGACCAGCTCACGCAGTGTGTCGGATACGACTATACAGCTTTAATCTATGAATGAGAATGATAAGGTGTCTACTTGTATTCACCCCTTTGGACTTATTACCATTCGATCAATACAACATGCATAGTGCTTTGAAAGTGCAAAATACGTTTTATTGTGACAAACAAAATGAAAATAAAAAATGCATAAGTGCATAAGTATTCATCCTTAAAGAGGACCACCATGTTTCACTGTTTAAATGAACGCAATCAGTGATGCATAGTGAACGCATATTCACTCTTCCATGACATAAATATAACAAGATGTATACAATAATGATTAAAAATGAACCCTAAACATCGCAGAAAATAAAAAAAAAAACATTAAATATCTTTGTAATGACCTAGAGAAATAACAAAAAAAAAAAAAACAGTTAAAAAAAAATCAAAGGTTTTAATACACGTATTCTGCCATCTACTGGTAAAGATGTGAACATGTTTACTCTGTGTTTCCTTAAATGTTCTGTCTTTTCTCTGTTCACTGAGGTAACAGCTCAATACGTGGAAAATAAATATCAATGTATTTTCGTTTTATAGGCAAAAAACAAAAAAGGGATTTACGGAAGGAAAAGTTGATCACGGACACCCTTTTCCGTATTTAAACGGTACAATACAATGGCAGAATTTCTGTCTTGGTATTACTTCATCTCAGCGCAGCATTCGACATGGTCCACCATGACACACTACTAGATAGACTAATCAACTGGGTGGGACTTTCTGGCACACCATTTACACACTACTTGAAAGACCGAGAATACACATCAAAGCTGAAGAAAATGACACGCGGTGTTCCCCAAGGTTCAATCCTGGGGCCCCAACTGTTCAACATCTACATGCTTCCTCAGCTCAGATTATGGAAAACAACAATGTGTGTTATGCAAATGACACACAAATCAACATAACTACCACCAGGGGACTACAGTCCAATAGAAGGGCTGGATAAATGCGTTGAACAAATCAACAACTGGATGTGACAAAAGTAATTGTTTTCGGTATCGAAAAGTCAGCACTGAGCTTCGAGCACTGATGTTAAAAACTATAGACCAAGCTAGAAATCTAGGTGTAATTATGGATTCGGACCTCACCCTGAACAGTCATATCAATACAGTTACAATATCAGCCTACTATCACCTAAAGAATATGTAAAGGATTATAGGACTTGTCTCAACCAGATTTGGAAAAACGTCCATGCATTTATCTTCAGTAGACTCGACTACTGTAACAGTGTTTTTACATGTCCCTCTAGCTAAAAAGTCAACCAGAAAGCTACAGCTGATCCAGAGCACTGCAACTTGAGTACTCACCAAGACCAGGGAAGTGGATCACATCCCTCCAGTTCTCAAGTCTTTACACTGGCTTCCCGTCAAACACAGAACTGACTTCAAAATCCTCTGTCGTCTGGGACTGGTCTACTTTCTGTTCCCAGTCAAAACTAAACACGGAGAAGCAGAGTTTTTCTGCTCCACATATCTGGATTCATTGACCATGTCTGTATTTAGGAACTCTTAAAGAAATTCTGAAACCACACTGCAAATTGTATTCCATTATTAGTTTTTTCAAACGTAATTTTTCAAATCCTGTTTTCAAAAACTGTTTTCTCTTGTGTTTCAATCAACGTTCTCACCTGTTTGTAAATCTCCTTGCTTTATATTCGGATGTTTTAATGGTTTTGTGTGAAGCACTGTGAATTGCCATGTTGAAATGTGCTATACAAATAAAATTGCCTTGCCTCGCTTTGCATAAAAACGATCAAAAAGTACACGGATCCTATCGATGGAGAAAACAACAAGACGTATACGGCAGCCAAACGGTAGGTGGCAGTAATACAATGGAGAGGATCAAAGCGTCCGGACAAAACCTCAAAGAAGAAGAGCCACGAACGTCTCTGCTCGCGCATCTCACGTGACGTTATACCGTTATGCACATACGTCACAGATCAGGAAGAGCGGTTTCTTGACGACAGGACTAGGAAAAATACCACCCAAATAAGCAGGTACTATTATATTTTTCCCATTGTGTTAACAGTACGCTGTTCCCCCCTAGTTGTTGTTTCTGAAGAGCCAAGCGGTTTAGGGGATGTAACGTTAGTTTATCCGAAACAGGCAAAAGCTGCCAGGTTAGCAACAGTTAGCTAGAACGCTATCGGCTAAGCATATTATCGACGTAGCGTAACGTCATTTAGGTAAAAATAACAGAGCCAGATGACGTAGACAGTCGCGTGAGGTAAGAGACTCAATATGCAACTCGCAAATATCCCTGATATAAACCATTTTAGCGTAACCTTCCCGTGTGAGTTAGCACATATCACCTGACCTGAATTGGGCGGTTCCTTGCTAAATATCCAGTAAAACTATTGCTTTTTAACGGTGTTAAAGTTAACGTCAGCACCTTACCTTTCGAGCCAAATACTGTTTGAATTTAATTATGTTAAAGTTGTCCAGAGCCTTTTAAGCAGTCGGTAAAAGGACGCTAACGCCGGGGAATCAACCGGCTGCGGTGCAGCCATGACGGCCAGACGTCCATCGTCATTGTAAACATCTGCGAGATTAAATATTGGTTAAAGGGTTAAAATCCCCATCAATGCTGTCAACTGGTCCGGTGTCCCAATTCTGGCCTTCACCATAAGAAGTCCCGCTTCAACACCTCCACATCTTTCACCATTTCCCCATCATCGCCCGAGTAACACTACTTTCTCTCAGCAAGTAACTTTCTGTAGTAATTAGACTTTAAGTGTTTATATGTATTCATTCGTTTGTGGTAAGGTTACATGCTGTGTTGAACTGCCATTAGTAGATTTAACTGTTCACAAACTTAATCTGTCACGTCAGTAAAATAAAGTTGTTCCCGGACTAAACTGTGTCAGGTGACCATCTTGGTTCCACACCATCATTGTCGACCACGTTCAAAAGTCGCATAAAATCGGTCTGTTAAGGAACATGTTTGGATGGCATGTAACTTGAAAAACACTTCCCCTCTTTCTGCAGTCGAAGAGCTCTGGCAAACATGTCCTACGGCAAAGCAGAGAGCTACCGGCCCGTCCCACGGGACTTCAACGGCCTCATCCAGACATGTAGCTCCAACATCCAGAAGATCACCCAAAACAGTAAGGGCCTCTCTGCCGTCACCATCAACCAAAGGATCCGGAGTTTTAGATGAGTCTACAGACAGACCATTGTTGGGAGCGGCTAGGGGGTCGTATTAGGTTACTAGCAAATGAGGAACTAACTTATGGGCATTAATAGAATTATTAATAATCACTAAGATACTTCTTCAGAATAAACAAATAACGGGGCACCACCCTGAGCTAACAGGGACCAATAACCAATACTATAAATCAAGTCTCATAATTGATATTCACTGCTTGAGAGTGAAGATGCTGGAAGGATTTAATTTCGAGCATAACACATAACACTTATTTTAAACCTACTCGCTAAACAAGCAATCAAAACCAGAGTGTGTGTGTGTGTGTGTGTGTGTGTGTGTGTGTGTGTGTGTGTGTGAGCACAGAGGGGGTGGGGGGGGGGGTGCAGGGAAGGAACGACGGTGGGGTTGCGCGCAACAATAAGCGGAGTGCCGATTATCACACTAGGGGGCGAGCGAGAGCAGCGGGCGGGAGTGAGACCGTTGAATCAAACCACAGAGGCGGGGAAGACGGGAACGTTAGGCGGTGTAATACGACTACTCGACGCGAGGGGCGTAAGAGCGGTATGCGAAATGCAAGCGAAATGCAGGGAAGTGTTCCACGTAGTGAAACAAAGAAGAAGACGATAATTGCACTGCTATGGCAACGCTATCGGTTGCTAGGGACTACGGCTTGGACGAAGGGGGGGGGGGATACGTGAGGGCATTCTGACCCGCGACCAGCGAAACGTAGATCAGCAACGTGAATCAGGACGGTTGGACTTATGTGTGTGCAGTTATGGAAACAAACGATGTGGCTGCCGATACGAAATAAAATCACAGGCAAACGGATCTCACGGTGGAGACCTGGGAATAGCGATATAAGATCGAAAAGAAAATAAGAACTATTTTGACCATGAGATATCATTCAACAGCGTAATACAGTTGGCACTTTCACTCCCTTACAGCAAACGTATCACAGAATCAGATCAACAGGGAATATTACGACATTTGCAGGTACACATTCAAACATGAAAACTGAAAGCTAACCGCAAACAACAACGGAGGACGTCCAGCCGATCCTGTTCTTGCTTCTCGATATGTGGCTGTTTGTCACAAGGAGACGACAATCTTTGTTTGAGCAAAGGCTACATGCTGCAAGCCTCGTGTGTTGTCTTTCCCCTCGCGGCACGCGCAAATGACGACACTCTTTCAACCAATCAACGCTCTGCAGTGAGTCTAGCTCCGCCCTTTAGTACCAAACAACTGTGCCAGGTACCCCAACGGAAGGGTACCCTAAAAGTGGTACGGTACGGTTTGGATTTTTGGTACCATTCTCAACTTTTTGCAGTGGAGACACAAATAAAAGGGTACCGACCCGACCCGTACCGTACCGTACCGCTCGGTTGAAACGCGCCATTTATGACCAAGGGGGTCTGGACCCCCCCAGCAGGGCTCCTGTTATCAGCCCCTGGCATCAGGCCACGGGGGACCCCCATATGTTTGTGTTTTTCCTTTGTCCTCAGTGAAGAAAAACATGGTGAGGTTTATTAGCACCCTGCTAGATGTCATTCATTTGGACTAGTGCAGATTAACCTTTAGTCAAGTTACAATAGTCCTTTTTTCATGTGGAATCACCGGAATGTGCAGTGGCAACGTTGTTAAAGCTTTGTATCCTAGCTCAGGCAAGGTCCTAAAGACTGGGAGGAGTAGTTCTGCTGCTAGTAGGTCACTACAGTGAGTCAATACTGGCCTGTAGAGAAAAATAAAATCGCCCATCCCTCTCCACATCTGCTGGCAAACCTCTGCCCCATGCCTTCACCTCTGGAATAGATTACTGCAAGAGCATTCTTCATGGCACATCATCTGAGATCCTGAATGAACTCCAGTACATCCAAAACAGCCGCTCCCACAACGGATCCAATACAAAACCCTTCTCCTCACTCACAAAGCCCTCCATGATCAGGCCCCCTCCCACCTCACCATCATCATCACCTATCCACCCCCCACACGACCAAGCACCGGGCACGGGGTGACAACCTTCTCCGTAGCTGCCCCTCCCTCTGCATTCCAGAGGGAGGGGCTTTTTTTGGTGCCACAAAACCAACCAATCAGAGAATTAAAGAAGGTCAATTGTGATTGGCTGTTGGTCTCCAATCACAACGCTAGTAGAACTACCTACAGCATCGCGGAAGCTCAGCGAGTTGTTGAAGTTTGCAGCATTTGTGCTAAATGCTAACGGCCTGGATTAAAACACGTGCTGTTCTCATCATTTGCTTCGGTCATGTCTGATGGTGGCTAGCTGGACTTCTAATATCACTTTTTTTCGTCTTCTTTAGGACGCGTTGTGATTGGAGACCAACAGCCAATCACAATTGACCTTCTTTTGTTGAAAGACAATGACACACTGCAATCACAAAGCTCTCATACTTATATATAGATTCTACTGAGCAGATTTGAAATTGATCTGGTGAAATATCCCAAAGTGCTGTTCAAAGAATTGAGTGGGAATAGATAAAAGCTGCAGGATTTCTTATCCAGCAAGGACTTTGAATGTGACCCAGGAAGCTTTACAGTGACAAGGCGAGGCTCACAGTCTGTCACCATAGTAACACCAAGTTTCCTTCATCTCAGGCTTAACTAACTCCTGAGCTTTGTGGAAGGGCTCAGCTGTTCCTCTCCATGGCGTGTTTGGTTACATCTGTACGCACAGAATGCTGCAGTTTGTTCTCTTCACAGCTGCTCAGATCAAGAGCCTGGTGAACCAGCTGGGGACCAGCCAGGACACCAGTCAGCTCCAGGACCGCCTGTACGTACCCGCTGAGCTCATCCTTCATCTGTTCTTTGACTCCGTTACTATATTCACCGTGCTTTTACAAAATAAACCCCTGTCATTAGAAGTTCTCCTGATGTGTATTGGCTGCTCCAGGTGGTGATTTCCTCTCTGGAGATGACAGCCCAGGATATCAAAAAGTGGCATATTAAAGGTCTACATTTCCAAAATGAAAGAATATGTGGTAGTTGTGATCGGAACGGAAGGACGATAACCAATTATTATTATTATTATATAATTATTTAGTATTTTCAGGGTGTTGATGGTTTGATGTCCTACGTGGGTTTAAATGAGCTGTTAAAAGTGGCTGTAGAGCTCAGGGCAGACGGCGAGGCGATCACCATAATCAGGGCGGGGTTCTGGGGCCGTTCTAAACGGTTGTGTGTCCATAGGCAGCAGATACAACATTATACCAACCAACTGGCAAAGGAAACCAACAAGCACCTGAAGGAGTTGGGCTCCACCCCTTTGCCCACCTCCCCCTCAGAGCAAGTAAGTATCACTCTGCCTCGTGATCTGTTGTCATGTCACAGTGCAAACCGTTGGATTTCATACCATCACAAATTAGCCTCAGAGGGCTTTACAGTCCGTGCCCCACATGCAACATCCTCCGTCCCGACACCCTCACATGGTGAAAACCATGGTGAGACTGGATGTCATGTGACCAGAAGGAACGGCCAAGCAAGAGACTCAGCTTCCCTGATTCTGGTCCTTCAGACCTTCTGTTTCCTGATAATTATGACAATACAGTTTATTAGTTTCCACTGCCTGTTTGACTAGATAAATCTGTCAGTGGTGTAAACCTGCTCCTATATCTCATCTTTCTGGTTCCCTCCGTACTGTCCAGAGGCAGCAGAAGATCCAGAGGGAGCGGCTCATGAACGATTTCTCAGCAGCTCTCAACAACTTCCAAGTGGTGCAGCGGCGCGCGGCCGAGAAGGAGAAGGAGTCGGTGGCCAGAGCCCGAGCTGGATCCCGCTTGTCAGTGAGTAGGAACTCTCCTCACTGGCCTTCATGTCCACGTGTCATCGGCTGACTGCACGTCCCTCTGTCCCACAGACTGAAGACGTCCCTCAGGATGAAAAGCTGGTTTCTTTTGACAAGTAAGTGACGCTCCTTCGTTTAGGCTTCCTCTGCCAGGCAGCGGCACTTTGCGACCAGGGAGAAATGTAGATATTAGGAAACTAAGGATCACTTGAATAGTTACAGACAGAAATTGAATTCTTTGAGGATTCATTCTTTCTCATTTGGTGGTCAGAAAAGAATATCTCCTGTTAGGACGTTTCCCTCACAAACCTCAAGCCTTAAAACAAAAAAAATGACACCACCAACATGGAATTAGTCAAGACATCTTTAGTTGACCACCAAATAATAATCAGAGAGACCAATTGTTGTGCAGTTAATGGAGTGCATCTGAAAGGGAAAACCACAGCGGCCCTCTGTGGATTTCAGCATGCTGTAAAAGGCGTGTTTTTGTAAAGCCAGGAGGACTGGGGTCAGATGACCACCCAGGCAGAGGAGGGGGCCATCACAGAGGAGGACCTGGAGCTCATCAAGGAGAGAGAAACCAACATCAGGCAGCTGGAGGTCAGCTTACTAATATCCATCCATCCACACCAGGACCTCTGCTAGAAAGCCCCCACCCTGTCCCGGCACCACGCAGCTGATTCTACCTCGTTTGTTTGTGTGTTTCAGTCCGACATTTTGGATGTAAACCAGATCTTCAAGGACCTGGCAGTGATGATCCACGATCAGGGGGAGATGATTGGTGAGTCGCACCGGGCTCCTTCTCAGGGTCCCCGGGGTGTGAACTGAGCTGAAGAACGTGACCTTGTTCATCGTTTGCCCTGCAGACAGCATTGAGGCGAACGTGGAGAACGCTGAAGTTCACGTAGAACGAGGAACAGAGCAGCTCCAGAGAGCCGCCTACTACCAAGTGAGTCTGCAGCCGCCAACTCGGTGCCCTCCGCCTGTGGCGTTCCTGCCAGTAACCCTCCAACCTGTGCTCTGCTCTCACAGCAAAAGTCCCGGAAGAAGATGTGCGTCCTCGCCATGGTCTGCTCCATTGTGCTCGTGATACTTGGCATCATTATCTGGCAAGCTTCTTCTAGCAAGTGAGGCGGCTCCACACAGCCGATGTGTCGGTAGCGTTTTGTTGTGCCCCGCCCACCTCCCAGTCGCAGGCAGCAGATGAGGCCGAGGCTCCGTCTCTGAGCACATTTAGACTCTTTTTGTAAAACCCTATTTAAAGTCCGATGGGCTGAAGTTCTGTCTTGTCTGGTTTACTGTACTAACACTAGTTGTCAAAGTATTTCACATGTTATTGAGAACAATTTCAGCGCAGGAAAAAGCAACACTCAACTTGTTAAGTCATTGAGTCCATAGCTTCTGATGTCGGGTGTGAGGAGTGTCTGGCGCTCCCAGTAACGTCCCCCGGGACTCGTATTCCTCCTGCTGCTGATGGCAGTCCTGTTTGTAATGTACATGTTGTAAAATGAAAGCTCTATTCCATGTCTGTAAATATTACAAAGTGCTGCAATATATTCTGCTAAGTACATTATACGAGTACTCTGAGTCCAGTCTGCAAAGAAAATGTTTTTAAATTGATTTCTATGAGTCTAATAAATGTCTTAAACACTCTGGATGTGTCTTCAGTCTTGTGGCTCAAGCCGGCTGGAATGTTTAAAGCTCACTTGGTGTACAATTTAGTTCTTAAGCATCACAGTATAGAATGAAATCTACATACTGCGCAGTGAGTTCAGGGAGAGCTCACGAAGATTGGACAATAACACAACACATGTACACAGTGCAAGAAATATGGATGAAATATCAACGTATTCAATTGGCAAAATGTGTAGTAAAACTATGTTCTCTGCAGTCAACAGTGGCACAGCTTCACGCTTTAGTCATTGGGACAAGACAAACAACCCATTTAGTCAGCGATACCATCTGCTGGTGAAAGTCTGTGATGGTCTGACTGGGTCGTGCTACCTGCTGGGGGGCCACCGGTGGAAAGGGAGAGCAGCTGACTGCTCTGCGTTGTGTCATTCAGAATGCTGGACAGCCCAAGGGTTGTGTCACATGGATCCACAAAGCTTCTACTGTTGTCACTAAATCACTTGCAAAAAGGGCATTTTCAGATCGCTCTGTGGACTTTCTATTGGCCGCGTGTCTATGGCAAGTTATTTAGGGGACGAGCATTTTTAGAAAAACTAGACAAAGCGTTGAAACCTTTCTTCCTGTTGGAGAAGCTCACACTGGTCCGATCGCATTTCAAGCCTCTGGAAAAACCCGGTGAGATGATGGTCCAAAGATACCAACATGGACTCAGCCAGCCGAGCACTGTTAACCACTGAAATGTTGCTGCTGCAATACAAAGACCAAACGGTTTTCAATTAATGTCATTGTTGCTGTACAACAACATTTTGCTTGGTAGTCAGCAGGTAGCAGCAAATAATAAGCAATGTACAAGGTAAAGATACACAAAAGGAATCAAATAAGTGAAAGATAAAAAATACACAAGACGAATAAAAATGTTACTGCAGTATAAAAGTATAAATAAAAATAAGTAAAATGCGTGTTTGTTTGTTAGAAAGTGATATGTCAGGTTCCTAACTTGTCTGCCTGAGCTCACGTTGATCCATTTCTGTTCGTAATATGAAGTATGAACTATATATAAAACCGTGTGGGCCTCGGCAAGATGTTAGTCAGCCTCCAGTGTGACAGTTATTAAAGTGACTTTCGGACTAACTGCATTGGACAGCTCATCACTGGTTGGACAACCTCTCTTGTAGTAACAATAAGCAGTTCACAAGTTGTACATAAGTGAATAAACCTACGTGTAACAACAACATGTGGAACATTTGGGATGTTTCTTTGTAGAGTAGAGCAACGCATAACACATAATCGACGACGATGAATAATGATCCTGCATGAACACATATGCAGTGATCATAAACACTGTTTATTGCACCTAATGTGTCTCCACTACTGCTACAAAAAAAGAAGATGAAGAAGACTTGATGGTCCGGTCAGAATTCTACAGTTCAGCTGCTCTCGGTCAATATGCAGCGTGGTGAGTTTGTCCAGCAGACAGCAGCAGAGAGCCGAGCAGCAGCAATGGAAGAGCAGGTGGTCCCTGAACTCGGATTATCATCGTCTGATGTCTGCATGCTGACCCAATAATGGTGCAGGGAGAGGGGAGCATTCTGCCGCCTGGCTGAGGAAAGGACTCCGTCGTCATCAGCTTACTGTGATGTTGTCTCCTTGTTGATTCACTGCACTTGTGCTTTCGAAGAGCAACATGCTGAACGAGTTCCATTTGCTGTCGTTTTTGTTTCAGTATTGAAAATGTAGTATTTGAACCCACTTTTACAAATGATAGATGAAGTCACACGATAGCCCAGATGCTCAGCCTCCTTAATGACATTTAGCACATCATCATGGGACTGTGACCTAATTCTATACCTGTTTTAAAACTATGAAGTCAATACTGTGCAATACTTTCAGAGCTCAAATTTGACTAGACCACTAAGAATGATACTTGTATTGATAACCAAGTTTTAAATGGCCTAATCTATAAAAGTATCTTCTTAAATATTATAACATTATTAAGAAATACAGATAAATAGAAACATTAGAAAGTAGAATCTACCGTGTATTTATCCACCCAAACATGTTGTATTAGAATCCAGAATCTACTGTAATGTATGTCAACATGACCCACTGACGACATACAGTATGTTCAAATCAATTTCAATTTATTTAGTATAACACCAAAATCCCAAATCCCAAATTTGCCTCAGCAAGCTTTACAATCTCTAAACATGTGACGACGTCCTCTTTCCTGAAACCCTCACATTGGCACAGCAAAAGAGCACTCAACCAGGAGAAGGACAGAGGAGGGAGCCCTCCATCAGGTGTACAGAATGAAAAAAGGACGCCAGGAATTTGTCATAAAAATAGTTTTTACACTATGTTACCGTAAAATGGATTACAGTAAATTGGCGTGAACTTTATAGTCAATTAAAGGTAAAATACTGGCAGTGGATGCCAGTAATTGGCTGTTTTTTATGTTACACTGCTGTAGAATACAGTATGTTACCGTAAACTTGAACCAATTTGACTGTGAATTAACTGCAATTTACTGGCAGTCAACGCTAGTAATTTACTGTTTTATTTACAGTGCCCTACCGTAATATACGGTATGTTTCCTGTATGTTCCAGTTTGTTACCATAGGATTACTGTTTTTGTGTTATAAATACCAGAATGTTACCGTTTACTCATAACCGTATACTTTTGCATTTAATTCCCCACAAATTAAAGGAAGACAACCAAACTCATTTCGGTCATAGTGGTTGGAGTTTATTAGATGCCTTTGAGACAAAAATGTTAGACATTTTTAACCAAGAACAAAACATAAAAAATGTCTATTGCCCGAAGTTGGCTGGGATGGACTCCAGCCCCCCCGCGACCCTGTGTGCAGGATAAGCGGTTTGACAATGGATGGATGGATGGATGTATACAATAATAAAAAAATGAATCATAAAATCATTGGGAACAAGGTAAACTAACTGCAGCAATACGCTATGGAACACTTTCAATTGACCGCAGCAAACGGCTGGCGTCCTTAATCCAGAGCCTCTGTAAAACAAACCAAAATAAAATATTTAGAAACACTGTCATTGATAAAATATTCAAATTACAAAGATGAGGAAGACAACAAGATGTAAGGAAAGAGAATGTTAATCATGCCAGGCAAATAACACTTACCAACGTTACTTGGAGAGACGAGGCAATGAGAAACTCCCATGTTGAACTGACAGGTGTTCTGGATGAACTGAGATTCACGTCACGTTCAGGAGCAGTCGGTCACGATTAACACTCATATGACTTTTAGGCAATGAACACTTTGAATAATACAAATATTTATAATCTTTACATTCCGGCCACTGAAACGACGGGGAAGGCGGTGCGTGTGATAGGGAGGGTGTGCTGTGCAGCACACGGTCGGTGGTTCGAACCTCTGTCAAGTCGAAGTGTCCCTGAGCAAGACACCTAACCCCCAATTACTCCACATAAATGATGTCAAACCATGGGCGTTTTGGGTAAAAGTGACAGCTGCATGTGTAGTAATGTCCTGTAAGTCAGTTATCATCGTATCTCATTATGGTGACTTACAGGAGCTGTTTTTCAGTGGCTGACATGGGCTTCCATACATGAACCTCCAACAGATGTAGATGGACTGTGATTCACTGCACTTGTATGTGTATTTCCACAGCCGACGGGAAGAAACTGTTGGTGTGGCGGGAGGTCTTAGTCCTGATGGACCTCAGCCTCCTGCCAGATGGAAGGGGCACAAACAGGTTTTGTCGGGGTGAGAGGGGTAGCTGCTTCAGAGACCTGGAAGCGAACAAGTCCTGCAGGGACGGCAGATTGCAGCCGATCACCCTCTCTGCAGAGCGGAGGACACGCTGCAGCCTGCCCTTGTCCTTGGCTGTGGCTGCAGCGTACCAGACGGTGATGGAGGAGCAGAGGATGGACTCCATGATGGCCGTGTAGAAGTGCACCATCATCGTCTTTGGCAGGTTGAATTTCTTCAGCTGCCTCAGGAAGAACAACCTCTGCTGAGCCTTCTTGGTGATGGAGCTGATGTTCAGCTCCCACTTGAGGTCCTGGGTGATGATGGAGCCCAGGAAACGGAAGGAATCCACAATAGTGACGGGGGAGTCACACAGGATGATGGGGGAGGGTGGGGCTCTGTTCCGCCGGAAATCCACAACCATCTCCACTGTCTTTAGAGCGTTGAGCTCCAGGTTGTTCTGATTGCACCACGACACCAGATGGTCAGACTCCCACCTGTAGGCGGACTCGTCCCCACCAGAGATCAGTCCAATGAGGGTGGAGTCATCCGCGAACTTCAGGAGCTGACGGACTGGTGGCTGGAGGTGCAGCTGTTGGTGTACAGGGAGAAGAGCAGAGGGGAAAGAACGCAGCCTTGGGGGGAACCGGTGCTGATGGTCCGAGAGGCTGAGACATGTTTCCCCAACTTCACGTGCTGCTTCCTGTCAGACAGGAAGTCTGTGATCCACTTGCAGGTGGAGTCGGGCACGTGCAGCTGGGAGAGTTTGTCCTGCAGCAGAGACGGGATGATAGTGTTAAAAGCAGAGCTGAAGTCCACAAACAGGATCCTGGCGTAGGTTCCTGGGGAGTCCAGATGCTGGAGGATGTAGTGGAGGGCCATGTTGACAGCATCGTCCACAGACCTGTTGGCTCTGTAGGCTGCGAATTTGTGTCAATGACATCACATTGATTTATTCAATTAAAAAAAAACGTTTTTTTGTTGCTTAAGGTAAGTTTAACTATTTAACAATCTCTCCAATGCTTTGAATAAATGTCCCACAGTGCATATAAACTCATAACACACACATGAGACTCAATCTTCTCTTGTGTTCCTTGCAAGCTCTCTAGTATTTATATCTAGTGAAAGTAATCTAAGCCATTGTTGCTAGATAAAGATAGAGTATTACAATTACTGTAGACATTAGTCAATGCGGTGATTAGTCAGTTAGATCGGAGAGGCCAAGACAGTAGTTAAACCAGTAGGTAACCACTTTAGGACTGACTGGAAAATGATTGTAG